TCTTTGCTAGAAACCTGCCTTTTGTTCGTTAAAAATGTTGTTCAAAAATGGAATATTTGTTAATCAAATATTATGTTGGTTGTAAGTGATTAATAAATGTCAAAAATATTAAGAAATTTTAAATCTAGGATATTCAAATTCAGTATGTCTACAACTTTTTTCTAAAGTCTATATAACTTTTTGTCTTTTATTAATCCAATTATTGGGGATATTTGTTGATATCATCTTTCCTTAAATTCGTGGTAATTATTTACTGAAACAGAAAATAACAATTGAAATTACTTGTCTTCAGACATTCCCATTTATTCTAGAGAACTTATATTACATGAGTTTAAATCCAGAGAAACTCATTCGGCCATAAATGTTGCTCTCTAGATATTTTCCTCCATGCCAGGACCCGACTCTTGTATACATTACATCTCCTTTCTTTAAATTCAGTATGGTCAATGTAGAAGAGGAATCCCTATCCTCATGGTTACCCGAGTCAGCGAATGCGATATCTTTTACGACTCCATGCTTAACTAGTTCTATTACGCTGGCAGATTTATCGTATGAAACGGTTGTTGTGTGTATAACGTAGACCCCACTCTCTGGAACGACAAACTTTCCCGATTTGGCGTCATATCCGTTTCCAAGGTTCGTCTCAACACGATCATAAACAAATATTTTATGCTTGGATAGTGTATTCATCTGAATGTTACTCGACATATATGCATAAAACGCAATTTGGTGACCTAAATTTAAAAAAAACAAATGTCACAGTATTTATACTGAGTTATAGTTCATTCTACTATTAACTGTTGATTAACAGGTATGTATTACACCGATATATCTTAAATACAATGCATAAGTTAAAACACGAGCTCTTTTTCAACAATAAACAAAAACCATGTAAATAAAATAATAAAAGGTCTTAATTATGAACATTAAAAAAAGGATATCTAAAAGACATATTAATTAACCAATTCCAGTTGGTTGATTTCCTTTTCTTTGTCCATAAAGACTACAAATTGTGTCTTCCATCTCTTTCCGGTCACATGAGTCATTGGCATTAGCAATGCCGACGAAAAGAAAGAAAAGCAACATCGGTTGAATCATGTTGGGTGGGTAGCTCACCATAAAGCAGAATACACATATCTCAAGTTTTGTCCTCCTCTTATATTATTTTTAAAATCATGATGCCGTGGTCAGAGAGCAGATGAGGGATCTTATTTCAAATAAATCTTTACCATGCAATAATTTACGATATCCGTTTCAGTTTAATTTTTCCTTCAAAGATCGAATGCTGTTTCTATTTCAGTTTCATCACCCTGTAGGCCTACACTCCAAAACCTTCAAATAGGCCGCTGCTTATTATAAGTTTTGGTAACTTAATGATCACTTTATACAAACCTTATACATGTATAGCAAAATGCAAACAGAATCAAAATGTTATATTTATAAGCATTTAATTGACAATTTTTGCTTGCAATATTATTTAGAAAAATCGATACCAAGGTGTACAAAAAAATGTATTTCTATAATGAGATTGTCCTCGCATAATCTGCTTATTAAAACAGGTAAACATAAAAAATATAACAAGAGACAAAAGATTCTGTAAAATGTATACTACTGAAATTGAAGATGAATATCATTTTTTACTTGTATGCCCAATTTATTAAACATTGCGATCAAAGTTTTTAAATAAAATATTATTGGTACAGGCCATCTATGTACAGTTGCTAAGTGTGAATAATGTAAAAGAATTATGTAATTTAGGTAAGTTTATTTATAAAGCCCTCTCGCTTAGGAATGATTTAATCATGTCATAGTGTGCCATTTGCTAATTTGTTACTTTTATATTGTTGATATGACTATAACTGCTATTTTAGATTTTCTTTGCATTAATCTCATGTCATTCTTCATATGAACTGTAAAGACTGTTAATATGAGTTTGTATGTATATATGTGCATGTTCAATAGGGATTTGCAAGGACTGACCGTCCATTTCCGATCATTCCCTTTGTATATATTGTATTAATGCTATAAGACGTACGTCTTTTGCAATAAAGAAATTGAATAGATTGGTAAGAAAGTGTTGCTTACTTACGAAATCCTCTTCAATGAATGAATGGTAATGGAGTGAAGTACTGATTTGTTTTGAAAATAGGATATCCGGGTAAACATCAAAGAAATACGGACTTGAGTATATAGACATACAGGCAACAGTTACAATGTATTTTCGCAGAAGACATTGAACGCAAAAAGCCTCTTGTTTTATTTCAGAAAATTGGTCAGAGAATTCCTTTCAGTTAAAAAGCAAAGTAAGATAGTTGCCGTGTAGTTCAATCTCCACAAATTCCATGACGTGACAAGCAATTTATGCTTTTTTGGATTGACAATTTATATTATATTTTAGGTCTATAATCGTTTTTTTTTTTTTTTTTTTTTGATTTTATATTTTGAATGGACTTCTTTAATCTTGTCTTGACTAATAATTGATTATGTAAATATTTGCTACAACGTTTGTAACCCGCCCTTACGTTTTGTTCCAGTATACCCAAATTCTACCATGAGACAGATGGAGATAACTTGCAGAATTTAAGATCAAACGCCCATAAAACAATAGAAAATAGGAGCAGAGCAAACACAGACCTCAAAAACATCAAAGGTGGGATCAGGTGCCATGGAGGAGTGCGCATCCCCTGCCGAACGGTCACACCCGCTGTGTATTACTTGTCATGATCGGGAAAGAACGCAAAAATCCGTTGTCGATTCAGTGTATTTATAAATAATGGACTAACAATTAGTATGAAAAACGTCAGTCAGCATTTGACGCAATGATGAATTTGCTGAAAAGAGCATTGTATCGACCATTGAACTTACGAAATGATGATTTAAAACGAGATCGTTGATATTATTGTTTCATCAACTTGTTTGTCAATAATTTACCTCGTTTTAGACATTGTTCATACTTAGAGCATGCGTATCGAATCAACTGAGAGATATAAACTCCGTATGCCGGTAATGAATATATATTTCTTCATAAATAAGAACAGTTGACGATTGGACAGTTCAAGTCATAACGATTTTCATAAAGCTTGGTTGTTAGATTATCATTAATGTCTTTTTTCAAGTAAAATATCAAAATATGAAACAGATTTTAAGACGCTATGGCATCTTCTATCACATGCTCACCCAGATATGTCGTATCGACATAAGTATGGAAATAACTATTGTTTATTGATAATACGTCGTCGATACATCACAGCAAAAGTTTCTTCTTTCAACAAATAGGACAAATTATGCTTCACATGAATATAAAAACAGGCCTGTTAATAACGGACACAACTGGAACTAATGGGAAGTCCAATAGATTGTTGGAAGACCTGGCCTGGGAGCCATAAATTTTAGACGAGCTCACTTTTGATCTTAGTCTTACTTTAACCAAAGAAATTAATAGAGGAAAAGTGAGACTGAGATCAAAAGTGAGCTCATCTAAGTTTTATGGCCCGAGGTCAGGTCTCCAAAAATCATATAGATATTGTAAATGAGAAACTCAAGCATTTAATTAATGTCAATTTCAAAGTGCTTGTAAGTACAATAAGATTTTTTAACAAAACACTTTTGCAGATGTCCAATGACAAGGTCAGTAGATTTACCCTGCCTTGGTCGACCAATTTTTTGTCCTTTGGTCCAAATTATAATTTTTTCTGCTTCGGTGGCCGATTTCTTCAGCTGAAGCAATCCGTCGACCAACCTTCGACCACCATCCGACCATCGGCGGTCAGTTTGTAAAGTCGGTCGTCCGTTGTTCCACAATCACGGTTTCCAAAATTTCGGCCGACGGTTAGAATTGAACTGTAATGCCTAGGTCACATTTAAGCCGATGGTCGGGCGACAAAATTTTTCTTGTCTTGTCGCCTGAAAGAACATGATCGGCCGACCCAGTATCGGGCGACACGGAGCAGTCACATTATTTCCTAGGGACACCGATGACTTGGATTAATAACACAAAAAAATCTTTTTTCTTTAGCAATCGACAATACTTTTTCATAGATTTATATTCAGATAGGTGATGTGAGTAATGTTTGCGAGGCAAAGTGGCAGAATCTTATAAAATTGTGACTCAATGTTGAAAATGTGTGTAAAATTTTGTATGGAATTACAAAAAAACGACAAATGGTGCATATCTAAGCAACAAAGAATACTTAAGATTTCTTCATATCTTACGGATAAATTATTTATGCTATTTCCGTTCAAAAAATATATATCAATCCATGCAACAAAATTTTGTTTGTTTTATATATCTTTAATAGGTTAAATATTCACAAGCCGGCCAATCGTCACCCGATCATCGAGCTCTGAGCTACAGTTTGATTTTAACCGTCGGCCGAAATTTTAAACACCCTTATTGTCCAAAGATGGACGACCGACTTACAAAACTGACCGCCGGACGGTCGGACGATGATCGAAGGTTGGTCGACGGATAAGTTCAATGAGGAAATCGGCCACCGACGCAGAAAAAATTATAACTTGGACCGATGGACACAAAAATGGTCGGCCAACAAAAAGAGAGTTCGAAATCGGCCAAGACAACGGCGATGAACTGACGACTGTCACCCGAAGAATCCCATTTTTGCTCCAAAAACCCGTCGGCAGTTGGTCGTTTTTGAAAATGTGACTGGGGTTTAACTCAGAGCTTGGTGATCAGGTGACGATTGGCCTACTTATGAATATTTAACCTATTAAGGATACATAACACAAACAAAATTTTGATGCATGGATTGATATATATGTTTTGAAAGAATATAACATAAATAATAAATACGGTAAATCTTAAGAAATCTTAAGTTTTTTTTCACTGCACCTTTTGTCGTTTTCTATGCAAATCTTTACAAAATACTGCACACTTTTTGACAATGTGTCACAATATAACAAAATGCTGCCCTTTGACCTTACAAATATTACTCATGTCACCTATTTGAATATAGATATATGAAAAATATTGCTGATTTCTAAAGAAAAAAAGAATATTGTGTTATTTATCACAGTCATCGGTGTTCCTAGGAATTAATGTGACTAGTCCATGTCGGCCGATACTTGTGCAAGCCTATTATGTTCTTTCAGCCGACCATACCAGAAAAATTTGGTCGCCCGACCATCGGCTTAAATGTGACCTAGGCATTATTTGTAAATATTTTGTTATGAAATGAAGTCATCGAAATATCTAGAAAAATTATGTATGAGGTCTCCTTGATCTTGGTTTCAAGGGACAAGTAAATTTTTAGATACCAATGAAAAGGACCTTTTATTCAAAACATTTTTCATGAAAGTCTAAGGTATCAGATCCATAAGTATTTATCATTCCGAAACTCGTACATTATACACATATTTGATCACTGTTAACCTTCGCCAATAACAACAATATTAGAAAAGGAAAGGGCCATATTTATTCTTGAAACAGTTTTAAATAATCAAAGAATTTCATATACCCTCTCGTTCAGGTAAACCTACAAATTAGTTTGTTGGTTTATGTGTGGGGGTTTTTTATGAATTGAGATTTCAATTAAGAACTTCGGATAAGTCAATGTAATTATATAGTTGGGGTTGCTTGCAAGCTCTGTATCTTAATGAATAAGTGTAGGACTTGTCATACAACAATTTTCAAGTACTGAGACTGATTCTGTAGTATATTGCCTAATTAAAAGTTATTTAGACAAATGCTTAAAGTATGCTCACCATTAAGCCTGTGTTTCATGAGCTGACTATCTATTCTCTTTGAAAAACATAAGTACTATCAAAAAAGTAAAGATTCATTTTACTTTCTTTATTTATTTTAACCGTATTGTAAATGAAGAAAATTGTACAATGAAACATTTTTACAGTATTTAAAATAAAATGTTTAATTGCAATCTCAATAAATTATTTGAACATTATTTTTTTAAGTAAAATGAATAAATTATATTTAATTATAGGGTATTTATTGAAAATGAAGGACCCGTTCTTTTTGACAAGTTTTCTGTGTAATAATAGAGCAAAGAAAAAACATATTCTTGAACAGATATCAGTTGTAAAAAAAATTGATCGATGTAAATTCATCTACCTCTTCAACTGCTTTCATAAAAGCAAGACGATTCTATGAAATGAATACATGTGTGAATTATTTATCAAGGGCTAAGTCAAGTATTCAATTTTAAAAAAATATCCATATATATTATTTGTATCAATTATATTCAAGAGCAATTTTTTTAAGACATTGAAGTATCAAAACTTTGGAAATAATCCATTGTCTTATGTGAATAGATGAAAGATTATTTGAGATACATCGAATTTGGTATTTCCATCTCGAACACTGGTTGAGAACATAGAACATAGAACTAAGATGAAAGATATATATAGAACTAAGATGAAAGATTATATATATATATATATATATATATATATATATATATATATATATATATATATATATATATATATATATATATAAAAAAGATATAAAAAAAAATGGGCTGATGAGTACATGCATAATAGTACCCTATTTCCTTTTACTTCATATATTATATGTAATTATACGCTGATAGTGCATCAGTAGGCAACGTTAAACCTCTTATGGTGTCTCAAAGCCCCGGGGAAGTGACGTTTTGTCCAAATCATTTTTCGTGTGTGTTTTGATCTAAACCACGTGATCTATCATCAATCTGTGGTTTCAGATCTAGCTCCATTCGTCTCTCATTGTAGGAAGTGTTTTCTGCCCTGCCAACATGTGAAGGTTTGGCGTTTTGCCGACAACATAACCTCCATCAACAATGTTACAGTCAAACATTACGATAGAGATTATTAGTGCAAAAATGTTCAATACTTGTCCTCGGCTTATTATTACTGTAAGGGTGCATAAAAGCACAGCTCCGATATTTATAAATAAACTTAATACGTTTATTATTCCGTAAGCCACCATCTACATAAAAAAACCATCTGTTTATAATTATACACGCTTTTATCAAGTTTAAATAAGATAGAGATAGGGAAGTGCAGAACAATTTCAAAAGAAAGAATCACTTTATAACAGTTTTAAACAGAACAGAAAAATAAATTAAGTCACTTACGCCATTGTAATAGCCATCTGATGCGACATCTCTGTAACTGACATCCTTACCGGATACCACAAAACAAAATATGCCACTGAGCAGGAGCTATAAAGTAAGAACTCTGTAGATAAACATAAACAATCCTCTTTAAAAGCAACACCATTGCTCTCTCGATCTCTCGATTTCGATGAAACATCATGATATGCGTGATTAAAAAACATTAATTTAGCAGGAAATATAATTTATAATGGGATATAATGGTAATTTTCTTTATAAAATCCATTAGAAATCTACGATTTTTAAATCTCTACAACACATGCGAAATCTTGTCACCGCTCGCCAGCGTACACAATAGGAACTATATGCATTTTCAATATATATTATTTTAACACAATTAAGTAATCTACCCTGTTAAATAAACGTTTAATACTAGTCCAAATGTGCTTTAAAAATTAATTTGCCATTTTTTCCCTCGCAATTTTCATTTGCGTTATTTACCTTTCCAACGTCACAAACGATTTCGTCCATTTAGCACACCAGTATGGAAGAGCGCTAAATTCACACTAAACATGAACGAAATAAACAATTATGAAGAGGGAAAGTAAGAGAATGTAAATATAAGCATTGAAAAATTATTTTTTGGATGTCGTTAGTCATTTAACACAATTGGCCTTGCCGACAATAATCATACCGCGCTAATTGAATACCATGGTATTCAATTTGTCGGCACGGGGAAGTGTTATAGGACACACATGTATACAAAAATATGATTTCATTGCTTTAACGAGTTAAGGAATGAAATTAATAGCTACTGTACCCATGATCACAGTATAATCTGGGTTGGAACAGTTTAGGCTTTTATTATAACCGTAACCCCCCCCCCCCCAAGTCACATCCCAACAAATCAATTAAATTTTGTTTTCCCATAAACGTTTACACCCATGAAATAAAATGATTTATTTGTTTGGTGGTAGCAGGTAATATATAAACAAATAATACCATTGATCCAGACCATATTGGAGAGCCTGTTTTCGCTGCAAAATTCAGTTCATCGCGGTCCTGGTCTTTATAGACAATCATTATGATTCCTAAACTGATGCTACAAACTGAAATTCCTATAAAAATAATAGACATCCGAAAGGAAGGGACTTTTTCTTTCTTTAGAGTCAGTGCGCCATGAACTGTAAAATGAATAAATTTGTTTTAATCAATGCAAGGTTTTATCTATAATATTCATTGTTACTTGCAAGCAAAAACAACTTAGTTATTTAGCGAAGGAATATATGAGACAAAGAATTCTATGCAGGATTTATTGATGTTTGCCTTATAGACTTCGTAGTTAAATGCTTGAGAATGAATTGTTGAACTTATGAAGAAATGGTGCAGAATGTCTTCAAGACATTTATTTTATTAGGATTTTTTTTGAATAAATATAAACATGGAAAGTGGAAAAATTAATTTTTTGCTTAAATTTTGTGAACATGATGCATATGATTAAAGTCTATGGTAGATATCATGGTTTCATGTTCAATCCCTTCCCTTACTTTTGCATGTTTCCCAATTTATTTGATACAAAAATATATGTTCTGTATACTAAGTAATTAAAATGTTAAAACGATACATTCTATTGAAAAAATATGTTTTTTTCATTATAGGATTTTTACAATCTGGTTTTGAAAAGACATTTATTCTATTTTCACGTTATTTAGTTGATGTGTTGTTCTTAAAATCTTGACCTATCCAAAATAAAAGTAAAGGAAGGGATCTACTAGCAGCGCATTTGTCGACCGGATTCATTTTACACAATATAACCAAAACCCGTCATTCTAGTAGGATAATGCGCGCACACCAAGCTACTGCAAGCAGAAACTTCCTTGAACAAAGTAACTTTGGTACATCTTCATGTGGAGTCGAAGGCCACGGCAAGATGTTGGACTAATTAGTATTACTTTGACATCCATTAATAAACAGTGGTAGAGTCACGCCTTGCCTGGCGTTGGTCGCAGATTTTTAACATTTTAAAATGAATTTCAAAGTCGTCTCAATAATTTTCATCAAAGCCTACAACTTTTGATAAAATCAAGGTATTCATCTTCAGGGCTTGGCAGGAAATGTCTAAGACATTTACCAATCTTCTGATTTACATTATATACTCCATTTCATAAAATACACTATCGTTTTCCGAGTAAAGAGTAAGTAAGATTCTGTAAACGGATGTTACATGTACTTGTCTCTTAAAATGAAATTGATACTCAAATAAAAGATATTTCATTATATTCATTATTATTTATTTTCATATTCATTTTGCATTATTAAATTAATTATGCATTATTTTCACAAATTATGTTATGATTTTATAACTTAAGTACGGATTGATATTAGTTAATCTCTAAATTGCATATTAGACGTTTCTTCTGCAGCTCAATATATCATACCAATGAGTCATTTTCTTACCTGACGAGCATTGGCGGGCACTTTCGGTTTGTGGCATATTCTCCATATTTAAAATACCGGTAGTCAAGTTATGAACGACCTACGAGCATTTAAAAATGTCTTAATTTCATTGACCAAAATAAAATATGTTTAGCAATCCGACTCAGTATTGATATCTTTGCGATTGTAAGTCAAGCTATTGACAATTCTACTACAATAAGTACCCTTTATCTTGATTTTCATTCAACTGTCAAAAAAGTTTTAAGCTTTCAATGCCGCATTACTTAGTATGTCAACAATTTAAAATGTGCACGTTATATAACATAGTTCTATAATTAATATCTTGTTTTAAGCTATTTATTTATATCTGTTGCTTGATATCAATCAAGATAATTGACTGAGTTTGAAGTCTTTATCTGATTTTTTAAAATGTTGGTTAACGTCACTCTTCAGAATTTTTACTCATATGGAGACACCACCACATACCGGTAGATAACAGACAATTTTGACCCCCAGGATTGGGTTGCTCAAAACACTGGTTAAATTTGATCACTGGATAAGTTAGCCGTTGGTTAAATTCAATACCCACTGGCCAACTAACCACTGGTCAAATATTTGTTGCTCAAAATAAAATTAGCCTCTGGTTAACTAACCACAGGTTAAGTGATTTAACCACTGGTTAGTATCCCACAATGCATTACACTTGTACAGTTGTCAACCAAAAAAATATGGCTACCATAGTATATATCAAATAAGTAAATAGTGAGACCTTTTTACGTTACAACCGTATGTGGAGAAGAGGAGAAATATCGACATGTAACAGTATCAAAACTAAACAAACGCTTTAGACGCCAAAAACGAGGGGCACACAAGTCAGCTGGGATTATTCTTTACTGAAAATTCAAGTGGAGGATGCAGTAACTGTAAACACGTAAAATGGGAAAGGATTAGCACCACAGGTAAGATGGATAGAATGATTGCAGAAACCTAGATGCTCGTTAAGCTGTTAGATCTTAGTTTTACAGAAAATATTTTAAAGACAATACCTACTCAAGACAGCTATAATATATTACGAGGCAAATACATCAATTTGTATCGTTTCATACCTAAAATATAACTGATTGGAGTCAGGACACCTTTACTGTTCAATCGCAACTTCTCGGGCCTTTCCGACTAGCGGAAAAACGACCTAAGGTTGTTTTTCCGATCTCTGACGGAAAGACCCGAGATGATGCGATTGCTTTACTGTTTACACCAAGTTAACGTCGTCTGCTATAATTCGAGGAAATTCGCACTTGTTGTATTATCGCTTTTATACATACCTCGACAGAAAGATCTCAGTCCAGTGGCTTGTAAAATATTTCCAAACAAGAAATAACTTTCATCACATTTATGTAATCCTGCATTACAATGTTCTAACACTGTCTGAAAGTGGGTAGCATTTTTAAAAATTATTACAGAAAGGTCATGGTCGAATAGCGAGTTCGTCACTAATGCATTTCGCTCCGTACAATTAAATTTTGCGGTGTAGCTAAAATGCATTATCCCAAGTGTATTTTACAAATACAACACCTTTTGATATTAGCATCAATATATGTAGAAATTAGATAAAATCTTTATGTAGATATTGATAGCATATGCATCGGAAGCACTGTGAAAGTAGAGTGGCTAATTGAATGTGGGTGGGGATGGAGGAGGGGGGCTAAACCAACAAATTTAAAAAAGGTAACCCCAAATTTTCAATGCCTATATAAAGTCTTTCTTTGCAAAAAAACAAAAAATCCTTATGCCTGTGGATTGATATTTAGAATTTAATGCTAGATTTAATTTTGAATAAATATATTTATTCACTTTATCTCAACGATACGGTGGTATATTTAGGACACTCAATTATTATTTTTTTACATACCAGAAAAAAATTATCTTGTGAAAACGACATAATTATCTTGTGAAAACGAGATATTATCGTGTGAAAACGAGATATTATCTTGTGAAAACGAGATATCATCTTGTGAAAACGAGATATTATCTTTATAAAACAACATAATATCTTGTGATAACGAGATACATATATTATCTTGTGAAAACGAGATATTATCTTGTGAAAACGACATATTATCTTGTGAAAACGAGATATTATCTTGTGAAAACGACATAATTATCTTGTGAAAACGACATATTATCTAGTGAAAACGAGAAATTATCTTGTGAAAACTACTTATTATATTATGTCGTTTTCACATGATAATATCTCGTTTTCACAAGATAATGTCTCGAATACACAAGATAATTATTTCGTTTTCACAAGATAATTTTTTTTCTGGTATTTAGAATAAAATAATTGCGTGTCCTAAATATACAACCGTACAACGAGACCTTACCAAAATGATAATAAAATCAAAGGAAATGGCCGGTACGCATTTAATTTAATGCAGCAGTCAACAAGAAAGGTAATTTGATAAAATAGGCAGATAAAAATATCGCAAGAGAATGATAACTAATATTATTTCGAAAAACAAATTCATAATGCAAGATCTTTAAAAACGGGGTAGAGGAGTGTGTGTTTCCGGGGGGGGGGGGGGGTTCAATTCTCAATTAATTTTGAATTTTGATGTATGGTTACCAAAGAACAATTTATCTATATCCATTATTAGACCTATATACAAATAACCAACAATTTTATTCATTTATAATTTTTATTTAAAATATACCTATAAGCAAGGGAAGACCGCTTGATAAGATCCTTTGTAATGCCAACAGATTAATCCTTGAAAGAACCCATTTAAAACATTTCTGTTGACGATGAAGCCATAAAAACCTATCATATCCCCGACTGTGATAATATTGCTACAAAACCACGTCAACTTGACTCTAAATTACTGCATATGTCTTTTTAAGTATTCATCAACATTAAATTCTTGGTTACAGTATCTATAAGCCTTTGTTTCTTTTGTTATCGCCCAAAATTTACAACATATAATAATTTTTAGTCATATTTATCCACTGATTAAGAGACTTAACCCACCTCTGTGGAATGGATAACTTTAGCCAAGATTTAGCCACTGAATAGCAAAGTTAACCAGTGGATAAATTTTGAGCAACAGATTTTAACCAACGGTTAAAAGTTAACCACTGGATAAGAGATTTAACCAGCGGTTAACCTTAACCAGAGTTTTGAGCAACCCAATCCAGATGCTCGACAATAAGGGTCATTGACCAGTGGGTGATCTTTTCGTCCCAGCTATCATCTACTGCAACAATAGACCTCCGTTTCGCTACCCTAGAGCAGACGTTTTTATCACTGCACCTGGTAATCCGAGATTCCACTGACTCTAAACCCAGCTTTTATATTGTGACTCGTGCAGGGTAGAGTCAGACCGGAGTTGGGCCATATTGAAAAGTGGAAATTCAGCGACACCAGCAGGTGTCGCAACTCTGCCTACCTTTTATGTACAACTTTATTTCGCGGAGCTAATTCCCAAGACGCGAGAGCAAAGAGATGGTTTTTCTACAAAATTATCGCCATTAAAAGCCTAAGGATGATACCGCCATTTAAAATGGCCCTATCACCCAGCTGGTGTCGCTGAATTCCCACTTTTCAATATGGCCTCCGCCCAGACTCTCCCCTGCACAAGTCACAAAATAAAAGCTGGGGTTAGAGTCAGCGAAATTTAGTCCCGTGAAAAATTTTCAATTTTAAACGTACTTTAAAACAACGCAAGGCATGTTAAATTGGAGATTATGGTTGTGTGCATTCATTTTGGCTCGTACCAGGCCTAGGGTGGACGCCTCGAAAAATTTGATGAAAAGCTTTTGAATTTACTTATTACTTTTTATTCCCTTTTTTTTTTTTGTTACAAAAATACCTTACTGTTACTGTAGTTATAGTTCCTTTAACTCCTTTGGTCATTTCTTTCCTACAATTCTGATTCTTCTATAAAACCCGATAGTGATGTTTGATAGGTCCTAAATTTTTATCACTTAAACGCAGTAAAA